ATTTTCTCTGCTGAAAGTCAATATTGCATCTAAAAAGTCAATATTGCATCTAAAATGTAAGTGACTTGACTTGTGTGTGTGACTATGTTTGTTGTAGTGATAAGAGTTGCACCCTTGTTAAAGTTTAAGGCCTTGTGTTTTTGGATATATCTTTCTTTTTTTTTTTTTTCTCTTTTTTTACAAAATATGCATATAACCCATATATTTTAGATTTATTATTTGCTTTAAATTAAATTAAGATTGTATTTTTGGTAATTGAACCTGAATGAATTTAAAAATGAATGTGCTATATTTCAGATCATATATTTGTTTTTCTTAAAATTTGAACTAACTTTATTCTCAGCTGAATTATAAATATTTTATTTCTGTATGAATTAAAAACACATTTGATTTTTCTTTTTTAATCAATGTAGAATGTGTAACTGAAATATAAACAGATTAGGGCTCTGTTCGAGGACAAGTAACTAAAACCAATGCGACATGATGAATGTTTGTTTCCCAAACCATCTCAGAGTAACAGCTTACTTTTCTTTCTTACTATATTCTTTCTTACTATAAACTGTGCTGTAGAGCTTGCATCAGTCAAAGCAGGGTTACATTTTGCATGTCGTGCACAATAAACCTAAAGGCACCAGGGTGGCGGTGCCACCGGCTTCATATATATATGTATATATACAGTATATATATATATATATAGCTGTGATCCGCGATGAAGGGCCAAAGCCAGTGGCATGGCCACCCTGGTGCTTTTAGGTAACTAAGGAACCGGGGTTGCGGTGCCACCGGCTTGGGCCCTTCATCGCTGCTCGCAGCTATATTTATTATTATTATTATTATTTATACGACTATTTGGGCACTTTTGGGGCCCTTAACATGCTCAAAAACTCTTGAAACTTTGCACACGGGTCAGAATCCGCGGCCATCAGGGCCGGGCTGAAGATGGTACCCGGGCGTGGCAGGGGGGCTAGACAGCGCCCCCTGGAACGGGGTCCGAAAACTTGGTCCATAACTCAAACACGCTTGCATGTAATAATATGAAACTCGGTACACATGTTGATCTCATCGTTCATATATATACCTCAAACTATTACTTTTTACCCCAGCCCAACAGGAAGTCGGTTATTTAGGGTTGTTCATAAAACACTCGCAATGGAATTTGAAGTACTCCTCCTAGAGAATTCAAACACACGGCACGAAACTCGGTCAGCATGAAGTCAAGGCATTGAGGATGAAAGTTTGCGAGGGGATTTTTGATATCTCGAACGGTTTGGCCGTGGCGAGAAAACGAAATTATGGCGATAATCGTGAAACAGGAAGTGTGTCAGAACTTCAGCATACATTAACTGATCTTGATGAAACTTCAGCAGTTTGTTTGCTGTAAGAGGACGATCACATGGATGTGAATATTGTGAGTCAAAGTTATAGCGCCACCAACTGGCAGCAGGAAGTGTGTCACTTTCAAAATGCTTTGAAATCACCCTCTTATTTTTACCCGATTTGCTTCAAACTTAATCTGTATAATGTAAATACATAGCAGATGAAGACCTGTGAATGGATTCTTGATATCTTTGATACTGTTGCCGTGGCAGAGCATTAAACTTTAAAATTCTTTTTTTTTGATGATTTTGAGACTCTTAGCGGCTTTTGGGGCCCTTAAACGGGTTTGAAAACTCTTGAAACTTTGCACACAGGTCAGATTCCACAGCCGTCAGAGCCGGGCTGAAGATGGTACCTGGGTGTGGCAGGGGGGCTAGACAGCGCCCCCTGGAACGGGGTCCGAACACTTGGTCCATAACTCAAACACGCTTGCATGTAATAATATGAAACTCGGTACACATGTTGATCTCATCGTTCATATATACCTCAAACTATTACTTTTTACCCCAGCCCAACAGGAAGTTGGCTATTGAGGTTTGTTTGTAAAACGCTCGCAATGGAATGTGCAATACTCCTCCTAGAGAATTCAAACACACGGCACGAAACTCGGTCAGCATGAAGTCAAGGCATTGAGGATGAAAGTTTGCGAGGGGATTTTTGATATCTCGAACGGTTTGGCCGTGGCGAGGAAACGAAATTATGGCGAGAAACGTGAAACAGGAAGTGTGTTATAACTTCAGCATACATTAACTGATCTTGATGAAACTTCAGCAGTGTGTTCGCTGTAAGAGGACGATCACATGGATGTGACTATTGTGAGTCAAAGTTATAGCGCCACCAACTGGCAGCAGGAAGTGTGTCACTTTCAAAATGCTTTGAAATCAACCTCTTATTTTTACCCGATTTGCTTCAAACTTCATCTGTATAATGTAAATACATGGCAGATGAAGACCTGTGAATGGATTCTTGATATCTTTGATACTGTTGCCGTGGCAACGCATCAAACTTTAAAATTCTTTTTTTTTTTTGATGATTTTGAGACTCTTAATGGCTTTTGAGGCCCTTAACGGGTTTGAAAACTCTTGAAACTTTGCACACAGGTCATATCCCACAGCCATCAGGCCCGGGCTGAAGATGGTACCTAGGCGTGGCAGGGGGGCTAGACAGCGCCCCCTGGAACGGGGTCCGAAAACTTGGTCCATAAATCAAACACGCTTGCATGTAATAATATGAATGAAAAACTTCATCTGTATAATGTAAACAGATGAAAAACTTCATCTGTATAATGATGAAAAACAGATGAAAAACTTCATCTGTATAATGTAAACATACGGTAGATGTAGACCTGTGAATGGATTCTTGATATCTTTTTAAACTGTTGCCGTGGCAAAGCTTCAAACTTTGAAATTATTTTAGGATGCTTTTGAGACTCTTAGCATGCTTGAAATTGCATGAAACTCAACAGACACATCACATTTATTAGCCAGTAGACATGTGCAAAGTTTCAGAAACGGGCATGGTGCAGGGACTAAATAGCGCCACCTTTTGACAAAAGTGGGGTTGTTATTTTTATCTACAGTTACAAAAATCGTTATATACATTGTACTCCTCAAGCCAGACAACTTTCTAATTCATAGTCATTAGCTCAGACCAAGAGGAAGTCAGATATTTTGGTTTGAATATGGTGAGACTCTCTCTGAGCCTACGTCCGTGTATGGCAAGCCCTTTTAACATTTAAAAGCTAAGTTTGCCTATCCGGAAATTAACATTGTAGATATCAACAATGTCTTTCTGTCTAGTCGTAATTACATTTTGGATAGTTTGTATTATCATTTAAGATATCTGTAACATAATTGTGACTAGTCAAAATGACAGACTATGGCAAGCCGTTTTAACATTTAATCATGAAAGGGCCAAAGCCTTCGGCACCGCCACCCCGGTGCCTTTAGGTAACTAAAGGAGCCAGGGGTTGCGGTGCCACTGGCTTGGGCCCGCCATCGCTGCTCGCAGCTATATTTATCCTTGTTTTCGCATGGGCCGTTTGTAGTCTCTTTCTCCAAAATCTCAGCCCAAAGTCTTTTACATTTTAGAGCGTGTGAATCTCTAGTTGGCAGTGGTGATTGTCGTTTGAACCTTTCTGAATCCGCCATCAAATTAATAAGTTTAATTATATCAAGTACAGTGAAAAAAGGCTATAAATCTCCACCTCCAACATCCCCACGCAATATAGCCTACTAGCCGAGACTCAGATGTGATGTAATGACGAAACGAAATGCTCAAATCTCTCGCGGAAATCCACCAGTACCAGTGGAATTACAGTTTTTTACAGTCGCTAGGACACATTTCTCAATACTTAGGTCACTTTTTCAAAACTCTTCACACAGTGAGCACAACAGAAGTATATGTGGGCTAAACTGTGGATCAGGTATCATTGCTTTGGCACAAAATGCATTCAATGACTACATCTTTCAAATTACATGAATTCTTTTCTCACTTCGACACAACAACCGCCAAAACTCTGTGTTCCTATAGGCCAATTTGCATATGCTTACACACTGTTTTCAAAACTGTTAAACTTATGTTCAAAACAATAACATAATACAAAACTGAATAAGACAGCAATTTGCTACATTTCTACAGTAATATTTTAATGAAATATATTTTGCATCTTAAAATTAAATGCTATAAAAATAAGTGGACAATTAGACCAACCACAGCTTCTCATTGTAGATGAACATCTACACAGGTGTTACTCTTTCTATTTCATTACAAAAGGAGACAACTGCTGAAGAGTTTTGTATTGTGATGTAAACATGGACGCAGCCAGAAACAGAGAAGTGGCTGAAAGAGGAAGAAGAGGGGCTGGGAGGGGGCGAGGAATACGTATGCGTGGTGGAAGAAGAATACTGTAACATTACTATTGTATCTGTATCAGTGGATGGTGTGTATACAAATTCTTGTATTTTGGAATTACTCAGTGCAAAAAAATAAAAATAAAAGACATAAAATATATTGAAGCATTCTGCATCATGTCTGATTCATTCCAGTAAACTCTATTGCAGTGAATTATAAACAAAGATTGTATAATGCTACATGTTGTTAGTGTTCTTTAGGTCATTGTTTTGTGGGTGACAAAGTGTGTTTGTTGGCTGTCAACCTTTGCTATTGTTATGGAAGAATGTGTTGATTTGAGAAATGAATGAAGTGTTTTGGTAGTTTTAGTGCATTTTGAATGTGAAATTAACTGCTGTGCTGAGCTGAAAGCTGGTTAGGAGAACTGTGTGAAGAGTTTTGAAAAAGTGACCTAAGTATTGAGAAATGTGTCCTAGCGACTGTAAAAAAACTGTTAAAAGCTAGTTTTGAACACTGGCTGGTTATGTATTTTCTCTAACATTTATTTGGGATAATTTTTAACCCAAAACTTACGTACTGGAGCTTTAATAGACTCAATTTTAAATTCATGTTGACTTAAAAGGGCATGACAGATTTTTTTTCTCATTATTTTAGTATGTTCCTTGATGTTCACTTATAATGTTAAAATAATAATAATAATTGTTTATTGCACAAAAAACAAAACAAAAACAAATATTTATGTGAAAAAAAAAATGTAATTTGTGTGTGCACTGTTGGTTTGTGTTCACAGTCCTCAGACCTGGATGACGATTTTCAAGGCTTTGACTTTCTGGTCTGAACCCCAGGCCTCCTTCAGAGACTGGTTGAGCTCTTCAATGCGGTTCACATAGTCCTGCTGGGACAGGTTCAACAGCTCCCTCTGTGAGCCCTGAGCACACACAATACACAGAGCACATTCATAAACATAAACATATGTTCCATAAACATGTCTAGCAAAGACATTAAAGCAAAAGGCTTCTCCAGATGAGACCCACCTCCTCTAGGTCATCCAGCTCCTCCAGACGAGTGCGCACCTTCTCTGACACGGCTGAGCTAGGGCTGGATGCTTTACCTTAACACAAGTCAAAGTATTAAATGTGCAAAAAAAAATGTACAGAATGTTGCTGATGCCACTGTCAAGTGATATGTTAGTTTCTCAGCACTGGTAATTGCGTAATCGATCTAGCCTGTGTGACATGGTTGTGTATGATTTGGCAACACGGGCAGCCTATGCGCTGAAAATTCGACTCCCGAATTTTTTAGGCATGTTTAAACATTATCAGGAGGTCGGGAAGTGCTCGTAACACACTCGGCTCATCTCGTAATTCCTCTCACACACTACGAGCTGCGACCATACGAGCACCAACGATTTCAGTGAAAAAAATCTGCGAGAAATATTATATTATATAGGTATTTAGAAATGTAAAAATGTATGTCAGGTACCAATCCTCAATTATTTATTAAAAATGTAAAATAAAATAAAATAAAAAAGTCAAATAAAATAAAATTCATTGACTTAGGCTGAATCCTAATTCTCTGTCTTACCCCTTCTCCTTAGTTTTGCGCGTTCACATGAGAGGAAGGGCTAACCCAATTCTCATTTTGATCTAGGGGTAGGGGTAAGGTGAAGGGGTATATACCCCTTAAAGACCAAGAATTTTCGCGAAAAAAAATATGACCGTCTTGTTTAGTGCTCTACACAATTATGTACAGTATATATTTGCAACTAATTTATGTTGTTTATTGAAACGTTTTTAAAAATCGCTACTTTGCTACGCTAGGCTATGCTAACATTACATTGCTGAGTTGCACAATCAGTCCCACATTTCAAGATCACTCAAAATGTCCAGGATTCAGCTTTTGCTTTCTACAGTCGCCATTCATTATGTGTACATTATTTGAAATCAGCTTCTCAGATGATGCATTCAGCTTCAAACGGATCCCGACTGAGACGAAAACACAGGAATATTAGATCAACAATACATTCAGATTCACCGATATAAATGAATGAATTCAGTCTGACTGAAACAACACCTTGTGCATGTAAACATAATGAATAGTGAAGACGGAAAGCAAAAGCCCAATCCCGGACATTTTGATGGCATCTTGAAAGTTTCGAGAAGTTTGTGATCAACACTTGTTGCCCCGGGTGACACAGACGCCAGTTAAGGACGATTGCAAGATGACGTAACCGAGTGGTGTCTCATTTCATAGGGGTATGTTTGCACTAGCGCTTACCACTCGGTTTCGAGGGACAAGGGCTAGGGGTAAGACGAAGAGGAAGGGGTAAGACAGAGAATTGGGATTCAGCCTAAGACTTTTGAAAATGAATGAAGGCTTAATGAGGATTTGACTTTGAGCTGCCAAGCCACCTGGAATAACAACAACTAGAACAGCTACAAACCAAGAACAGAAAAAAAAGAGTCTTCAAAAACAATGAACTCACTCTTGTCTGAGCCCATGAAGAGGTTCTGAAAGATAAATAAAATCTTGATTAATGTCTGTTAAAAGTGCAAAGTCACAGGATGAGTAAGAGCTGCAAACGGCTGCACCTACAATAGACAGTTTCTCTGTGGTGGTGAATCTAGACAGAATCTCTCCACGTTTAGATGACCACGGCTCAAAGTCTAAGCCCACTTCCTCCTCTTTCTCCTGCCGTTTCCGCCCCAACTCCTAAAATAGTAAAAAGTGAATAAGACCATAACAAACGTATGATGTGTGTTCAAAATGCACAAACACAATGTCTCTCACTGGATGTCTCTTTAAACTACAGGAGCTGCCGTGTGTGGAACATACTGATGGGCTTCATGTCGTTGGAAACCTCACTCCTGAAGTGAGCTCACAGGACTTCACTCCTGAAATGAGCTCACTGGACTTCTTTTTCCTGTATATTGAACTGGCATGCGGAGAGTGTCTGCTCAATGTGGACTTGCACAGAAAGACATTTAATTTGGAGACGGGCAACTTCAAGCTCATGTACGGAGGTCACCAGAACCAAGCCAGCTGCACTAACTTCTGGATTAACTGTGTGGAACCCAAACCACTGGATCCCATCCGGCCCGACCAGCTCTAGAACCGAGCGCAGTGCTGAACTGATTACAATTCAGTGATACTCAACAATACCACGGGATTCTTTGAAGTACCTTTGAAACCTTTATTTAGCAATCATTGAATTCTATGGTATGTATTAGGGGTGGAGCCGAATCCGAATACGTTTTTTTACGAATACTTATTCCGAACAAATACTTAAAAAAATATTTGTATTCGGGAACAAGAAATACTCATATCAAAAAGCTGCGTTCCTCACGAGACCACAGTGCGCGAGTTGAGTGAGTGACGGTCAGGAAGAGGTGACTGACACAGGCTGCTCCACACAGCAACAGAGAGGGCTCGGCTGAGCGAAAAAAAAAGACTTAACTGCATCACTATTTTTGTTGAATAGATGTTTGTACCTTAACTAGGTTCCGGAGGCAGTTTAGAACTTTCGGGAAGCGGAGTTTGATCGGGAGTATATTCCATTATTGACGTCTGCAGACGGGTGCTCTCATGTTCGCTCTATTTACGTAGCTCTGTTAGCTCGGTAACGGTAATTATTTGTTTCTTATATGGCTTGGTTGAATTCTAATGTAGAGTGCGGTCTGTTATTATACAGGCCGCTGCTTTATAAGTATGACACACCGTTGCCATAAAACAGAGCGTTCCATGGATTCTAAACGTAGAGACAGAACAGACTATTTTTCTTTTTTAGCAGAAGCGATACAATCGTTTTTTAAAATCAATAAACTCCTTTTTATATCCATACTGTGAGTCAAATTATTGATTTATTTGGTAGGTAGCCATGTAATAAGCGGGGTAATGTAGAGCGAGGCGGTTGTAGCGGCTAGCGAATACAAACCCTTCAGGCTTCGCGTCGGGCTCATAATCAACCTCCTCACTATAAATTATCCCTAACTTATTCTGTCTGCTCAGCGTCCTCCACCGTGGTGTTGGGGTTCATAATGTTCACAATTGTATTTTATTAGTTGTTGGTTTAACCATGGTTCATGAGGTAATGGCTGACTGTTATTTTCTTGTGACTTTTCTTGTTTCTTGTTACATGTTCATTGCTGGATTTATAGAAAAACATCAACCAATATTGCATATCCATAATTATTATAATGGATATAATTAAAGAATCCATACACTATAAAGTATTTTTAAAGATTTGTATGCCTATTTAGAATTTTACTCGAATACAAATACAAATACAAATACTTTTCCTCCCTGAACAAATACAAATACAGATACAAATACCGGCTGCTTTGCACACCCCTAGTATGTATGTACTGTAAGTATTATGGTATTTCCATCCGATACTACAATTACACAAGTGATTTTTTTTTTTATAGGGGTACTAGTGCACATTATGAATTTAATAATACTTCTACTGGTGTGTGTATGTGTATGAGGTTTGTGAATTTTACCCCAGCAGAGATGCTGTGTGGGAGAGTTGGGGTCTCAGATGCCGCAGCGAAGAGAGACAGTGGATCGGTCCCATCCAGCATAGAGCTGAGTGGATCCAGAGCCACAGAACTAGAGGAAGAAGATGTAGAGGAGGTGCTGCCTTTCCGCCCCCCACGCCGAGATTTAGAATCGGTCACCTAAAAAGAAGACGGTTATTTACCAAACTTATTACTGAAATAACTTGTTCATGAAGTTACTTTTGTTCCAATTGCATTTTACAATTCACTTATTATTACACACATTCCTTCTTGAAGCAACCATAGGTTTGGTGTTTTGGTCAAGAATACACTGAAGAATAATAGCATTATAAGACATCCGTTAATTGCTTGTGTATGAACAGATAGACACTCGGATAGGTAACATACTACAAATTGAAGGCATATATGGGATTATTTACACAATATTAAAAAAGGTTCTAAAGTATTATTGATCAACACACTCAAACCCTGTTTACTTGAGGAGCACTAAACCTGTAACAATACTGAACAGTATTATTTTATATTAAATTAAATTAAACATTTAATGAGTATTTATGAGAACTGTGGATGTACCGTGATGGCTTTGAGTGGATGATAGTCATTGAACTCCACTGGTGAACTCTCCAACTGACACCCCTGCCATTCACTCTCATATTTACGGCCCCGAGAGTACCTGTGCAAAACACATATAAAGCTGTCATATTGATTATCATATTAACGCTAGATATGACTGAAGTACAATAAATTGTGCAAACGGTAAGTTACATTGTGTTTCTGGACATATCACTATAATGGAATTAATTTGATTGATGGATATGATGACCAAAACGTGGTATTTCATGGTACAAATACAATACCACAATATTATTTGCACTATAATGATACTGGGTATTCAATGATACTCAGTATCATTATAGTATCAAAATTTGTATCAGAGTCTGATACCATCAACTGTGCTGTCATTACACTAACGTTACACCTCCCTCTAGTCTACAACAATGTTTAATCGGTAGTACAGATATAATAAAATGTACATATTCTTCATTATTCCTCTATTCATTAACAATACGTCGCGTTAGAGTTTAATACCGTCAAAATGTTTTAAAATGTAAACATTTCTTACCACTGAACTGAAGCCATGTTCAATCAGTGTCATGTGATGCCGAAGTGCTCGAGATAAGAGTCTTCTGTCATAATAAAAGTCACGACGTTCTCAAACTTATTTGTCCGTATGATGCTTAATACAGGTACATTTCAAAGATAATAATAATAAGAAGAAGAAGATAACAAAGAATAATAACAAGAACATACATACATCATGTCTACTGTGTGTGCATGTTTTCATCTGCAAAATGTCTCTAAAATGTTTCCTGACAGATGTTAACACTTAGGACATTTCTTTAAGATGTGCATTATAAATAAATCTGCTATCATTAAATCAAAATTGACAATTTTTGTGTTGCCATATTTATTCATGCACATCATCATTTTATATAGGCTATTTATTCATTCATTTGTCCTCGTGTTTAATTTTTTTAATTTATTTTTTATTTTTTTATTTTTTATTGAGAAATAAATCCAAATACAAAATACGGTATATAACAGGAATGCTTCACATGACAGATATCACATATATTGAAACATGTTCAAACAAATAAAAAGGGATAACAAAAATAAAGGAAAAGAAGAAGAGAAAAAAATACAAATAAAAACTAAATAAATATACATAAAAAAGCTCATTATTTCTTTCTTTTCCTATAGACACAATGTTCATATAATTTGGTAAACTAAGTGGGGGCATTAATTACAATATGAAGAATTCCTCCATAAAGTTTAACAACATTTCATTCTTTTTATTTTTAACTAATTTAAGTGACTTCCTCAGCGATTCAATCTCTATTAAAAATAGATTACATTTTGGAATGCATTTTTGGAATGCAAATTTTTGTTTATGGATATAATATTTACCATGCAAAATGAAGAAATTCACCACATATTCACACAATTTGCTTCTGTGTGTATAAGAACAAATAACATATTTTAGAGATAATTTATAATTAATTTTTCTTGGGGCAAAAAGAAAATGACTACCATCAGACCAAAATTTTGTGTCCTCGTGTTTAATCAAAATAACTTCAATTCTTTGATGACGTGTTTACTGGCATAAGGGCGGGACAACCTGTCACTCACATGTCATCACAGCCATTGCAAACCACAACAACCCAATGATCCAATCAATTCCTAATGGACGAAAGTCCCACCCTAGCCTGGTTCAACCAGACTCTAAAATGAAATTGAGCGGAAGTGCATAGGAGGGCGCAGCCAGGCTAGTCCCGCCCTGCATTTTAATACAATACAATATCATAATCACAATATGGAAGAAAAGACTATCCTAACCGTTTCATGCCAACTTTAAAGAGGACTTTATTTGGAAAGCTTTTATTGTTTACAAGCATCTTTTAACAGATATCTTGGAGATGCAAGTTACTTGTGCTCAGGTTTAAATCTCAAGCATCCTTAGATCTCATGCCTGAAGATCTATCCATTTGTTGAGTCTTAAATTAAAAAATAAATAAATAAAAATGAATTTAAGGCAGAAACAATGAGCTCATTGAAGTAATGAATATATGTTGTTAACAAATGTTTAGGATATATTGAAATATGTTGCATTGGTCCATATTGTTTCGGAGTTTGCTTCATTTGAAGTCCTTGTAGGAGTTAGAGTCCTCTTGAGCCATCTCTTCACGGGTGTTGGGGCATCTGAAGTCTGGAACAATGGAAGAATTTATAGAAAAATAAATTTATGTGTGGAACAACAGCAAATCATCAACCTGTCTAAGTGAAGCAAAGCTTTAAGATTTGTATCTTTTAGCTTTGAAGCATACTAGTGAAGCTTTGAAACTTTTGCGAATCATTTCTTTCATTAAACAAGGGTTTGTTACATCCTGAAGTCTTGAAACATTTCAAAATATATCAAAATTTCAATGGTTAACTACTAGGGGCCATCTCTGTAAACCCATGAACCAGTGTCTATTTTTTCTGATCTCAGATAAATTTGATAAAATAGGACATATTATAAAAAGATATTTCTAGATATTTAATATTTAATGAAATTATTTGTTAATTTAATTTAAAGGTGCCATATGGGATAATTGATGTAAAAACATCCAAAAAATGAGCTACACACACCAAAAGAATGAAAAGAAATAAGTGCAATGCTGTCATTAAAAAACTGACAAGTTATAGTGCTGCCGAGATATAACCTAAATTAGCATGCAAAATTACTAGCCCCGGCCCGCAAGGTGTCGTAATACCAGTTTCGGCCATGGGAGGCGGTATGCGGGCGGGCAACGTTACCATCAGCCAAACTGATGTACACGAGTGAGTCGCACTCGCGCCGGCTTGTGTGTACTTTAAAGGTTGTCTAAGCGATGCTGGGCCAAAACATTTTTTGTCACATACATCAAACGTCTCCTCACTATCGGCTAGCTGCCTGTCCCCTAAACACACTGTAAAAAAAACGCGGTTTCTGTAGACACCACAGGCTCCACAAACGGCAACAAAAACAATCATGTCTTACCCGGACCAGGAAACCTAACAAACAGTGTTCCAGCCAATCACTGGCAAGAAGTATTTGAGGGTGAGTCTGGGGGGTTAGTGAAGGGGGTGTGTGTGCGTGTGAAGGAGAGCAGCGAAGCATCAGAGGGAAGTTTGAAAAATGACCGACACACGACCAGAGACGTCGTTCTGAGGAACAAATTAAAAAGAAGAAGGAGTCGGATAAAGAATGTGCTAAGTTCCGAATTTACATCGGTAGCAAAGCTTTTGAAAGCTTTTTGAACGCGACTATCCAATAGAAGTAGAGCATATGGAGACGGAGGGAAGTCTCTCGCAGGTCCTCTCTTCTAGACTGGCCGCTGGCTCAAAACCTTGCCCATAGTGGTAAACTTGAGGAACGCCCATCAAAGTACAAATGTGGGGAGGCGTAACGACACCACGCGACTGTCGTGTAGGACAAGTGGATCCACACCGTCTCAAGGCCAATTTATACTTCTGCGTCGAGGGTACGCCGTAGTGTACGGCGTTGCCTACGTAGCCAACGCCGTTGTAAGCATTTATACTTCTGCATTCAAGTCTTGGTTGCTCTGCAGTACTGCTCCGAAACGCTAGTTGGCGGCGGAGGGTTTTAATGTTCCACTGTGTTTAGATTCCTCGCGGCTAGGTTACTACGAGTGAAAGAGAGCTGATCATGTTGGAATTGGAGCTTATTAAGGTGGAAAAACAGTTCACTTTAGTGAAATTACTAAAACTGAAAGGCAGAAATGAGAGAAGACTTCGGAGGAGATGAAACGTGTGGAAATCATAGACAGTGGTGGAAATGCGTGAGAAGGTACGTGCGGAAATGCGTAGGAGGAAATGCGATGCTACCAAGCCGACCAATCACCGATCTTGCGGTCCGCGTCGTCGCGACGTGTAGTTACATTTTTGAGGAGGTGCGCGTCAGGCGACGGCGAAGGGTACGCGGTATGGGACGCGTCTGTGCGTATGCTACGCCGTACCTACTGCGCGCACCCTACGCAGAAGTATAAATTGGCCTTAAGCCTTGTTTATACTCCACGCGTCCACAAGAGCGCGAAGGCCGCACGGCAAAATTGACGTCATTGCGGTGTGGGCGGTCGTGCGTGTAGGGTCCGCAAGACCCCATTGTGCCTAGCGGTGTGCACGGCACTTTTTGTAACTTTGCGTGCAGCGCCGCATCCGAAGATGGACGACTACGAGCCGAATCTGGCCGAACTGGTATGATCTGTACCAGCATGTTTATGATCCTTCTATACACCGAGACATTGGCATTGATGGGCGACCATAACATCTCATTTTGTGAACAGGAACACATTTGCATTAAGCACCTAGTTTGCACTTGTCTAAAGTAATTGGTTACATCTACAAAATAAGCCTACAATAGCAGAATTTCAACTGGCTAAACGGTTTTCCACTTCCTGTTGAAGTATTGTTTACATAGAATGCTAGCACTCTAGTCCAGACCACTCATCTACGAAGAGTTCAGATGCAAAAGCCTCTAAGTGCCATTTGAAATTTTCTTCTAGAATGATCATTTTTATCAAGCTTGTATATTTAAGTTCAGTAATTTCACTTAAATGACAATGAAGATTACCTATGAATTGCCATTTAAGTGAAATTACTGAACTTAAATATACAAGCTTGATAAAACTTATCATTCTAGAAGAAAATTTCAAATGGCACTTAGAGGCTTTTGCATCTGAACTCTTCATACAATGATTATAATATTATATTGATCAGTGATCCAGACATTAGAAAAATATCAGTTTACACATGCGTTTTATATTCACGGACATGACCGTTATGAAAGCGACTTTAAATCTTTCACCGAGATTTTAAAGAGAAACCACAAAGAAACCTTTCTTTAAAGTGAATTTCGTTTTTATTAATTGAATCTTAATTTAGATCAATGTTTCATCAACCAATTGACTGGTTTTAATAAATAAGAGGTAGGCTATACTGTATAAACAATAGCTCATGACGGAGGTGACAGCGTGCAAAGTGGACTTTGGTCTGAAACCCAGTAGCACCTCAATGCAGAACATGAGATCCACGGGGAGGAGTAGGATCCAAGGGGTGGAGATGGGTAGGATTAGGTTTGGGTTTATGGATTAGGGGTGGGTTTAGGGATCAGGGGGCGGAGTTGGTTAGGTTTAGGTGTATGTAAGGTGGGAGGAGTTGGATCTGGATCCGACTCCTCCCCATGGATTTCATGTTCCGCAGTGAGGACCATCTCCTGAAACTCGGCATAACGTTATGCCTAACCTCACAGCCCTGAGAAATATATAGACTATGCATCTTTGAAAGCAGAGGTAGACAGGAGTCAAAGGGCTAACCAGCCTAACCTTTTAGTACTGTTCTGCAGTCGGAGTGATAGAAACTGTCGGATGTTTGCTGGATTAGGGAGATTGTGCAGTCATGCATCAGCTATCCTTTGAAGTTATGAAGAAAAGAAAAACGTTCATTTCGTTTTTATCTGTGATTTAAAGAGCCCCTATCATAGCACTTGAAATGTTCCTATTTTTGTTTTAGGAGTTCCCAAAAACAGTTAAACGTGCATGCAAGGATAAAAACACTTTATTTGTCTTATAATATGCATTTATTTTTAACTGATTTGCTCAACGACTCCCAAATGATTCGTTCGACGATTCATTTTCCCAAACACCTCCTTTGAGTGATGAGAATCTGCGGTGATAGGTCAAATGACCCTGTCAGTTGTTATTAGTAAACCGTAGGCAGAGACCGTTGCAACGGAACGCCCATAACCAGGATTATAGCTTGTCAAGTGTTGAAAATTGTATATAGTGTTTGAACAAACCTGACAGAAAAAGTGCACTTTCCACACGGTCACTTACTCGCGTCTCCATCAAGAGCAAGCTTTCCCACCCGGTGAAACTCACATTGCGGGGGATTTTGAGGGACAGTGCTTATTATATAGAGCGAAGTCATATTTGGCTAAATCGTTTAGGAGGTAATTGCCATTTTTCAATGAATGTCTGGTGAATATCAAAAACAAAACTAACTTTACCCCGCTTAGAAGCTGCGCAGAGTGTACACAACACACACAACACAATATAACTAATATTGTGCATGCTACAGAAAACATAACAGCAAACATTATTAATATTACTTACAGATTGTGATTCGGAGGAGGACGAACCTGATCCATATACACTGGATACTGAGCCCTTCAGGAACAACCAGCCTGTGAACACAAGGTTCGGGCTATACTGTTGTGGTATCATTGCAAATATGAACTCTGACCACTGATTCTTCACATGCTCGTCCCTGGACAATGGAAACAAGTGGCTGAACTGTCTTTGCAATGTAGAACACAGCGTCTTCTACATGTCGCATCGACGTGATGATGCGATTCAGCTGAAGTATTTTAATGTGTTCTAGACGTCACTTCAAGCCTGCGCTCATTTGTTGGGAGCGGCCATGACCTCTCTATGTCACAATGTAACAGCTAATGACTCGTTTCAAAAACAATTAATTTCATAGACTCAGAGTCGACTCTCACTTTTGAAAGACAATAACTTTATATACGGTGCACTTTCAGATATAAATGTTTGCAGGATGTTTTCATTCCCTCAGAGCTATAGGCTATTCCACACTACATGAACAGTCATTTTCAAAAATCCATGATAGGTGCTCTTTAATAAAAAATAACGTGATCAGGTCACATTTGATGAATGTTTTTTTTTTTTTTTTCGATTTAGTTTAGCGATGTAAGGATGACACAATCTAAAACACATGGCAAAAAAGCATAGACTAGATTCGAACCGGAAGTTGACAACCAGAGTCGTTGTCATGGCGGCGCCCATTGTTTAGAGCAGGATAAGGTGGATAAGAAAGCATCCTTAGATCAAAAGATTCTAGTGGCTTAAACAAAGGTTCACACATAGCCTCCTAAACGACAATCAGGTCCCATGGCAACACTGATTTTGTATTGTGCCTAAGAAGCAAATCCCCTTTAAGGAATGGAATGACAGGAAGGTGTGTCCTCACAAGCCGAAATGGACACCAAATACACTTTCAACTTGGAATGGGAGCTACCTTCCCAGACAGCAAACTGACATTGAATCAACGTGGAAACGACGTCTCTCATGACATTGAAACAACGTTGATTTTGCTCATCGAATTAACATTGAACCAACGTCAGACGCGGCATTCTTCAAAGCTAAATGAAAATCGAAAATTGGTTTGCTTTCATAACGTTGAAACAACGTGTTGATTTCAAGTTGATTTTCCGTTAGTTTTGAAAGAATGACGCGTCTGACGTTGGTTCAACAATAATTCGATGAGCAAAACAATGTCAGATCAACGTTGTTTCGATGTCATATTTCCACGTTGATTCAATGTCAGTTTGCTATCTGGGTTCCTTCAACAATTCCAGCAAAAAAGTCAGCATCACTGCAATTGGGCACTGATACAGTGATAAAGATCTTTGCCTGCACGATGGTGCCCTATCACTCTGTATTGTTACACGCTGTGTACACGCTGCTGTAAGATTCTCCCTCTCAGCAGGTAGGCCCGAAACCACAACTCCGGCTGAGGCGACAGCAGGTGTCCCTGACTGCCATGTCATGATGTTAGCGAACACATGAGGGTGGACCCTTCTTTCCCGACTCACTTATTGTTTAGGCAGTCTGTGTGTTGGCCCGGGTCCCCAAGCACTGGGCATATGAATGTGGTGTTATGGTTTTTAGTAGCACGGCGAAGAGCTGAAGAATGAGAGAAACTGTGCATGTGACCGTATTTGTGGGCAGGTAGGACCCCCCACGACAGCATGCGTCATTGGCCTTTCAGGCAGCATTTATGCATGAAGATACCGCACAAAACTGATTTCAGACAGACTTCTGAGGTAGCATAACGATCTAATGACAAACAAAACAGAGAGAGCTGTGTTAACCAATTGAATATTTAATTACTACAATACTAACTTCTCACTGGAAATGTCATCAAAAGTGGGAAAAGTTCGTCAAATTGTACACTTTACACACAAACTGACCACCAACTCACATTTCAGATCTTCCATCTTTTTTTTTTCTAGCACAACAGTCAGGGAATCGAACACACAGGATTGTGGGATATCAAAGGCAGCGAAGGATCCATCTATGCTTCCTTCAAAAATCGATCAGATGAAGGTATCTCAGGAGACAAGATGTGGCAGTGGCACGACCATTAAATTTGGATGTGCCTTGTTACCCCAGACAGCAAACTGACATTGAATCAACGTGTAAACGACGTCTCTCATGACATTGAAACAACGTTGATTTGCTCATCGAATTAACGTTGAACCAACGTCAGACGCGGCATTCTTCAAAGCTAAATGAAATCGAAAATTGGTTTGCTTTCATAACGTTGAAACAACGCGTTGATTTCAAGTTGATTTTCCGTTAGTTTTGAAAGAATGACGCGTCTGACGTTGGTTCAACGTTAATTCGATGAGCAAAACTATGTCAGATCAACGTTGTTTCAATGTCATATTTCCACGTTGATTCAATGTCAGTTTGCTATCTGGGACCTTCCTACCTTCATATCCTGCCTTCAGAGGCAGCATTTTTAAATTTTCAGATGCAGCCAGATTTGCTTATCTTCAGCAAATGGGGTGATATCCCATAGTCATGTGTTGTACCGAGTGAAGCCCCTTTCACATAGCGTGTTGATCCAGGGAAATTGCCGTAAAATTGTCAGAACGCCTTCTGTGTGAACGCAAACACGACCCGGGATTGATACCGGCATCGATGCCGGGTTGGGGACCTAGTAACATTGCCGGAATCAGTCCCGGAACGTGCGCTGTTTGAAAAAAAGCCAGGACCAATGCCGTAAGGGGTGTGTTATAATGATGACGCTCGTGCCATCGCGCGTCTCTGTTGCTCTTTGAAGAAAGTTTGTGTTCGTCATCAACAAAGAAAGGACAAACAAATGTCTGCAAACTGGAACGAAGCAGAGACCAGGAGCTCCTCACTATCCGCGCTGAAGCGGAGAACGTTCACCAGCTTTGTGGAATGGTATGCGCGTGTACATGTTTTCGACGCATACGTTACACGTCCCATCCTGAAGCCATGTGTCTTTCCGGGATCTTTACGGGGTGTGTGTAAACGCACGCACAGATCCCGCCAAATCACTGGCAGTGTGAATAAACCGAAATCAAACAATCCTGGGACAAATGCTGGGTCACATTATCTGTGTATTTTCTGGAATATTTGTGTAAAAGGGGCTTAACTGAATGGGATTGCCGTTTGTCACAATATTAGAAACTGGCAGTAATTTAAGAAGGCATTCACCATTTTTAAAATGCAGTGTAAACACACAGATTATATTTACTCCATAAATTTTGCCTATATATTTACTCAAGAACATGGAACGATAGATAGACTGAAGCCGAAGTCCCGGCACTTCTCAGTCTATACACTAAAAAGGAAATCCAACACGTCTTTGAAGTGAACAAGTGAAACATGTTTATGTATTTCTACTCAGCTTGCGACATTGGACATCAACCACACAGCAAATTGTATAACACTTTTTCGTAAACCGTTTTTAAACTTTGTATTAGAGTTCTAATAAAGTAATAGATAGAAATGTTAAACAGATCATAAACGAATGAAGATGGAGAATGGGAAGTGTCGAGTGCTCAGGCTCGAGTCCACAGGACCATCAAAAATCATGGAAACATGGAAATCTTTTTAGGTTCATTTGTTTACTTAGTTCGACAAGGCCAGACACACACACACACACACACACAAAAAAAACAGTAGGCTACACTACTGCACAACTTTTTACGGTAGAACTCCTGTTTACCCCTGAGTGAAGAACGAAGAACAGCTTAGCAGAGAACTTTGAGAAATCTCATTGATGCAAGAACCTTTTCGGTAATTAATTTCTGAATTATTAAGCAAAACACAGTGTAATAAAATATGGTATGAAATGAATCCTTGAGGTATCTGCTAGTAGCTTAAAGACAAGAGCAAGAAGAACACATTACACAAATAGTTTGTAGCGACCATTTTTATATCTTCTGTGCACAATTTTGTGAGTGAAAATTAATAATCTTTTCAATGTTTTTTTTTCTCCATGAAAAACATCATCATCAGTCTGAAATAAAACAATTCACTCTTTGCCCTTTCATAGGCATAAAGAGGAAAAAGGGAGGAAATACATATGCATCTTTACATCAAGTCCATCCATGTTTCATTCAGTTCTCAATCACAATCATTCCATGTCTTCTTTCTATATATATATATATATATATATATATATATATAGTTTGTAGGAAATCAGTCTCTGGTCATTGGAAACCCCAGGCCATAAGAATCGGAAACAGAAGAAAAGGTCCTTTAATTCCTTCTATACTTTTGTCCATTCATTCTTGCACTTTTTTGTCTTCACCCTCCAGTGGTCTTCCTCCCTTCATCCAAAGGGAAATTGAGGAGGAATACAATCACAGTCTGATCTGAGGAAAGAAAACAACAAAATTCCGGCGACACACTTTTGATTCCCCCTTTAGTCTTTAGCGGCAATATGAGCGCGTGCTTTTGAACGTTTCTGCAGTCGCGTCGCAGAGGGCACACAGTAGTAGATAAGTGGCTGACGATGACGGCAATGATGGTTGTCATGGGGACTGCGTGGGTGGGCTGCTCTGAGCAGAGCTTGGAGAAAGGGAGGGGCTACAACTGCCTGGAGGGGCGCCGGCGGCCCGTGAACTGACCCCACCTGAGGAACTCTCCAAACCCTCAGAGTTCTCCAACATCTCTTGAATGAGAGGGGGCATGGAACCAGGAATCTCCATCTTCAGGGTGATCACACGCTCTGCTCCTGAGAGAGATGAAAAAATGTATTTAGTTTTTTCAAGTAGTCACACATGTGTTATTCTTATAGTCTAGGAAAACAAAAGAGTAGGATTATGCGAGTGAATTTGACTCACCCTTGGCACTGATGCTCCTCAAGTCGGTAATCTTCATCAGCATCTTAGGAAACATGTGAGGTTTGTGCGGCCTCCTGTTCCTCACGTAGATCTTCAGTGCTTCCAGAAGCGGTTCCTGCAGAACATCCACCTTGTCGGCTTCTTCCAGGTCCTGGCGATCTGCACAAACCATTCATATTCAGCTCACAGACTTGTGGTATGAAAGCTTATATCACAAATTCAGTAAATATTGTGGATGGTGAATCTCATGAAACCTGTAAAAAATGTTCAGGGCTGCGTTTCCCAAATGCATTGAAATCCGAAGTAGGTCGAAGAACAATTGATACCAATGGTTTCTAAGATCAACTTAGCTCAAAAGGCTTTTGGGAAGCCCAGCCCAGGTCACTTTCATCCTAATATCAAAAGAAAAAAAAAGATTTTTTTTTTTTGCATTGTGACATTATCTATATATCACTCAATAGCATTTTATCCAAAACAAAAAATCCTAGAAAATATTAATATGAAAGAATATACATTATATGATACCTTTATGCTTTTCTGATCTTAATTCTTTTCTTAATTCTGATCATTTTAAGAAAAAAATATTATAATGTAAAAATAAATGTCATAATTCTACATTTAAAATATTATGTAAAAATATATATTGTATCCTACTGTTACATATTATTTAAATTATTTATATACTCTTAGTGTTATTGTAAAGCCTTTAATTAAGAATATTTTAGTGTCCAACATTTATTACCATAAATGATTACATTTAAATGGAACAAATTTTCTTAACACAAAATACCATTTCAGAAACACTTTACTTAAAGCCTTTATGCATTATAAATGTATTCATATTGTATTTTTCATAAACAATTGTAACCAAAGTTAAAACGCACTATATTTGCAGATTCCTCGTTGCATCTGAAATTTTTTGTTGGTCATGTGTTTTAATGCATTATACTTTCTAAAGGTGTGTTCAATCAATAGATTAGTATTAAAATGTATAATAACAGCAGTTACAAATATCAATGAGACCATGGTAATGCATTATAAGGTGCATTACAAGGCATAATAATGCATTAAAAATGTTTACAATGCCTTAAATATAAAGTTCCTAGTTAAATATGACCTGGACATGTTTACATGAGATTCATCCTTTTAAACAACTTCATTTCTTGTTTCATACACAGTATTTCTCTGAACAACATCAGTGCAATACCACCATCACACACTGCGTAGCACTAGAGGTCCATGTATCAAAAGACATGAGACACTTGGTATGTTTGCAATAGCCAATGGATATATATATATATATATATATATATATATATATATAAAATATAACTATCAAAAAGACCTACTGTATTTGTCAATCAACCATACAACTGTTTTAAATATTTATAACTGCAGGCCTACTGTTTATAAAAAGGTATTCAGTATTTAGTGTACCCTTATCTTAGCCTGGTTCAACCAGACTCTAGTACATTTCATTTGCACAAAGAGTCTGGAATCGCTTCATAGACCTTATTCAGAGCAACGCCATGACAGGTATGAAAGTGAGGCTGTGAGGGATAGACTTACCGTGTTTCGCTGTAAAAAGCTGAATAAAGCGGCTAGATAACTTACAATTTTACACAGCTTACATTGTCGGGGGTTTTTGTCAACTGACATTTCTTTGAAAGATATTTTTCCAGTGTCTCATGAGCAGAACAATCCAAAAACACATTAAATAACAGTACAGCCCATTGAAGAGATGCAAGTCTATCCCTCACAGCCTCGCTTCATTCTCATTAAAAATCAAAGATGGCGCTGCCGTGAATAAGGTGTATTGAGAAACGTTTCCTTCCTTGTAGGCGGGTTCACTATTAAAGTTCAAATCTATTGGATCTGCCCAAAGTCACTCACGATCTGCCATAGCCAATCGCTAACGTGTGGTCGTGAGTGACGTATGTCACGCGCCGAAATGGCTGGAAACAACGGCCGTTTCTCAAAACCAAGAATGCAAAGAACGGACTTGTGTTCTTGGGAAGAAAGCTCTTGCTAGTTGTTCTTGGAAGAACGAACTCACGAGGTGACGAGCACACAGAACGCTGCTGACAGTTTGAGACGATGCGTTCTTGCTGGTATTGCGCAATAGTACCCCCGCACAGACGCCGTCTGCAGTGCCCAAACATAACGAGAATTATTATACAGCCAGGCTTTATCGCCCAAACCTAAGGGATTACTCTACATACACTACAATGTAATGTATATTCATAACAATAAAGCAACACCTGTCTCATTTTAATTCTGCTTCTGTTGTTTGTTTGTGTACATCACTAGCCAACGGCGGGAAAAAACGCCGGTAATATTCGGTAATATTCAGGTAACTTTTGACCTGCCTCTCTCTGCTTCCCGCTCCTTCCACGAATGCAGAAATGAATTATGGGATATTTCTGCCGTCAAGTTCACACAAGTTACCATCCGATGCATCCTCGGTAAAATGGGAGTGTCAAGAACACATCCGGGATTTTTAACCGTTCTTGCCTAAATGCAAACTTGTGTATTGGGACAGTACTTGGGCCGCGACTGATGACGTTTTACAAGTCCACAAGAACACAAGTACAGACAAGAAGGCATATTGAGAAACGGCCAACAAGTCCGAATGATCAGAGGATTATGTTTACAATAGGATTTCAGTCAACGAGCGCTGCAGGTTTTGTTAATCTAGGAAAAATTATAAATTCGAAATGTATATTTGAAACGAAGGACAGTGATATATTCATTCAACGGTGGAAGCTGTGTCTAATCATTACAAATACGCAGCTGTGGTCGTTTTCTGATCTGCCGCAAATGCTGTAGCAGCTACAGTTAATGATCAGTCTGTCTCTATCTGCAGATGTGTAGTAAACAACAATTTTTCATATTACGTCTTACTGTTTCTTAATTACCTTAATTATGGTCTTCAAAGTATGTGTTTGTACATTTTTATGTGGCATTTAGTTTTTTTTTTATTAAAACAAATCAACCATTGCCATCTAAAACTGATGTAAAGTATGTGTTACATAGTATGGCTCAAAGTATGGGTTTTCACATTTTTATTTATGACAATTATTTTAAGAAAATCACAACCAATTTGTATGATTTACAACATGTAAAACTGACACACCACCAACCTCCTGCACGAGTACACAAAGGGGCTCAAAATGTTCTATTCATCACAAGAATCAGTAAATTTACAGTTGGGAATATGAGCGACTGACATGACTCCTGAGCGGATCTTCAACAATAGTTTAGCAGCCATGACTCGGGGCTTCTGAACACCGCGAACACCAGGCTAAACCGTCCGTCCAAAATGTCACGGTCATCATGCACGAGCTGCCCAGCACAAACTACCAAACTTTCTGCCTCCTTCACTTGGTCCTCCGTTGTGCAACAAGAGGTGAGACGTTAACAATCCGGCTTTAAATTCTGTATATTCGGCAGTTTCTTTTCCAACAACGGACCGAATAGCTTTTCTCACGTCTTTCTCCGCTGCCGTTACTGAACTGAAACTGACGCGCTTACATCAACGTCATCATCCTCAGCCACTCCCTCTATTCGCTGATTGGTCCTACAAAAAATTGATTTCTGGAAACCTAAGGATACACAGCAGTCCCAGACACAGTGCTGAAGGGAAATGAAATTGAGCGGAAGTGCGTGAGGGTCCAGCCAGGCTACCCTTATCTAAGATTACTGATATTAAAACACAATTAATTGTAAAAATAATAGTCTATTTAACAGGTTTAAAACTGTAAGTAAGAGTACAGTGTGTGTGTGTGTGTATGTGTGTGTGTGTACCTCCACACAGTAGGCATATAGCACTGAGCAGTCCCGTCTCGGCGTCATCCATCTCTAGCGGTATTAGCTGACTAGCGAAGGCGAACACCAGGTCTGTTAGCGGACCGAAGCCAGCATTGTGCATCTGCGTTCGGTTCAGTGTTAACCCATCAGAGAAAGTCATGGTGTCTTGCTCAGGCGTGTAGCGGGTACAGATCCTCAAAATCTAAAAGCAGTTCATGGATTTGAGAAAAAAGTAGTGCACTTTAGCATACTTTTAAAAAGAGTACTTATTATGGAAATAAATCAGATACTTTAAACGAATATACTTATTTGTGAACTGAATGTAATGTTTTCAGACACTTATTTGCATTTTTTTTTACAATAAGGCACTACCAGAACAATAAAGTATTTTAGTTTAAATTTATATTAAATGCAGTTAGTTGAACTTTAGTGTTCTTTTTTGAGGCACCTAAGTAGAAGTTAAGTACATCCTTATATGTAATTTCAGTTCCCTTTCGTAGTCACTCCGAGTTACGTCAGGAGTGACGGAGAATGGGGGTTTCGCATAGAAAGCCAATCCTCTTCGAGTATTTAATAACGAGCCAATGGCATGAAAATGCCTTGGGGCTGCGGAATTTGCATAGCGTAACTCCGCCCCACCCCGTGGGTATAAAAGGAGGAAGTGAACGCAACCGCAGTATGTTTTCGCTTCGGAGCCAAGAGACTTCTTCACTCCTCAAGCCATTTCTCACTGACAAGACTCTTCGAGACGAGCTCCTCTTCAGTGTTGGTGTGACGGCGGTACCCAGCGAGATTCTGCATTGCCTGTGTAACGGAGGCCAGCTAGTAGTTGCTGTGCAAGTAAACCTCACTTCCCGATCTCAATAGGCGCTCTAGCGACAGACACTAGAGGCTGCAGTCTTTAGCCTCCTTGCTAGAGCGTCCGACTCTCACGCCGGAGACCCGGGTTCGAGGCCCGCTCGGAGCGGGGCGAGTAGGACCCCGGGTGTGAGGGGTTACATTGGTGCCGTGACCCGGATGAGAGTGAGGTTTAGGGGGGTGAGTGTAACGGAGGCCAGCTAGTAGTTGCTGTGCGAGTAAACCTCACTCCCCGATCTCAATTGGCGCTCTAGCGACAGACGCTAGAGGCTGCAGTCTTTAGCCTCCTTGCTAGAGCGTCCGACTCTCACGCCGGAGACCCGGGTTCGAGGCCCGCTCGGAGCGGGGCGAGTAGGACCCGGGTGTGAGGGGTTACACCTGCGATCTGAGCAGTGGTCTGCCAGACTTTGCGCTTCTCCCTGGTCGCCTCAGCGCTGAAAGAGTGAATTTCCTCCTCTCTTCTGAAAGAGCTGCACGTGGCACGTCTTTTTAAAGATGGTTCGCCCGTGTTCTTCTGGGTGCGGTCGATTCATGTCGTCTTCTGATGGTCACGATCGCTGCTTTGTGTGTCTGGGCATTCAGCATGCAGCAGCAGCGTTCGTAGATGACTCATGTTCCTTCTGTGGAGACATGACCATCTCTACACTGCGATCTAGACTCAATGATCTGACAAAAGTGAGAGTCCCCGTGTCCGCTACTCATTCTGCTTCTTCTTCTAGAAGCTCTTCGACTCGCGGACAGGGTGATTTGACGGTGATGGTGTGGAACAAAATCGTCTGCCCGTGGGTAGCGCTCTGTTGCGATGCAACTGTGTCCACAGAGACGTCTGTGGTTCGCATGACCCCGCTGGTTCAGTTCCTGGGAGCTTGGCTAGAGCTCCCCGGCCTGTCCCGCTGGGTCATCAGAACGATCCGATTCGGCTACGTGATTCAGTTCGCATGGTCTCCTCCCCGTTTCAGGGGAGTTCGCTCCACTATGGTCGGTGGCAATGCCCCGGTCATGAGAGCGGAGATTGCGACCCTGCTGGCGAAGGGTGTAATCGAGACGGTCCCTCCAGCCGAGGCGAGGTCCGGGTTTTACAGCCCCTACTTCATTGTCCCCAAGAAGACCGGTGGGTTACGGCCGATCCTGGATCTGCGCATTTTGAACAGTACTCTCCATCGACTACCGTTCAAAATGCTCACAGCCAAACGCATTTTCGAATGCGTCCGGCCTCAGGATTGGTTTGCAGCGATCGACCTGAAGGACGCGTACTTTCATGTCTCCATTTTGCCTCGACACAGACCGTTTCTTCGGTTTGCTTTCGAAGGCCAGGCATATCAGTACACGGTTCTCCCATTCGGGTTAGCTCTGTCACCTCGCGTCTTAACGAAGATCGTCGAGGCAGCCCTTGTTCCCCTTCGCGAACACGGGGTTCGTATCCTGAACTATCTCGACGATTGGCTGATACTGGCACACTCTCGAGAACAGGTTTGCGAACACAGAGACCTGGTGCTCCGGCACCTAGCCCGTCTGGGCCTTCGGGTCAACCGGGAGAAGAGCAAACTTTGCCCCGTGCAGAGGATCTCTTTTCTCGGCATGGAGATAGACTCGGTCGCCATGTCCGCGCAGCTCACGAACGAGCACGCGCACTCACTGCTGACTTGTCTTCGACAGTTCGAGGGCAAGAGTGCGGTCCCACTGAAATTCAGAGGCTCCTGGGGCATATGGCATCCGCAGCCGCAACAACGCTGCTCGGATTGCTTCATATGAGACCGCTTCAGCTGTGGCTTTGCGATCGAGTCCGATCCGTTGACGAAGCGTGCCTGGAGTTCGGGCCGGCTTACTCTCACGTGATCTTGAGACCCCGGCCTGGATACATGCCCAAGGTTCCCACCACTCCCTTCCGGGACCAGGTGGTGAACCTGCAAGCGCTGCCCCTGGAGGAGGCAGACCCAGCCTTGGCACTGCTCTGTCCAGTACGTGCGCTCCGCGCCTACGTCGACAGAACGCGGTCAGGACCTCAGACCAGCTCTTTGTCTGTTATGGGGGGAGACAGAAGGGAAGTGCTCTCTCCAAGCAACGGCTGTCTCACTGGATAGTGGACGCCATTGCTTTGGCTTACCAACAGCAAGGTCGACCGTGCCCTCTTGGTGTGACGGCCCACTCCACTCGGAGTGTGGCTTCCTCTTGGGCTTTAGCGCACGGCGCCTCGCTAACAGACATCTGCAGAGCTGCAGGCTGGGTGACACCAAACACCTTCGTAAGATTCTATAATCTGCAAATTGAGCCGGTGTCCTCTCACGTACTCGCTCCCGCCAGTACTGGACCCGCTTAGGTGTCTTCGCTTGCTCGCCATTCCACTCCTCGGACTGGATAAGTGCGATATCCCTCAGTTGAGTCTTCCGTTGAAGCCCTGAGTCCTCCAGCACTCATGATGCGGGCACCACTGCTGTTGCTCTGGTGCCGGATAGGTGCCTCCTTGTGCACGGTTCCCTATGGTAACTGTCACATGTGTATTATCCACTGTAAGCCTCTCTGAGCATGTGTCTTCCCTTGGCAAGCCATCTGCCACACCTGGAGCTAAGTTTCTAGCCACCCTTAGGTTGGTGCTCCAGTGATCTCCATATGTAGTCCCTAACACGGCCATATGTGTATTCTTAAGTCCTCCCTACGGTAGGCATTTGGTTGCATGTCCCTCCCGGGATATGCTTCCCAGTGTACCTTGGTATTCCTGTGTTAAAGTAGGAACTCCTGGTTATAAGGTAAGTTCAGGAGTCCAGACTTTCGCAGGGCACTGGAAGACAGCTGTAAGATGGCGTGATGGCACAGACCCCCATTCTCCGTCACTCCTGACGTAACTTGGAGTGACTACGAAAGGGAACGTCTCGGTTACGGATGTAACCCTCGTTCCCTGAGTAGGGAACGGAGACGTTACGTCTCCTTGCCACTTCTGCTGTACCGCTGGGTAGACGCGGAGTTCAGTCTTGGCTCCTCAGTGAAGACATACTGCGGTTGCGTTCACTTCCTCCTTTTATACCCACGGGGTGGGGCGGAGTTACGCTATGCAAATTCCGCAGCCCCAAGGCATTTTCATGCCATTGGCTCGTTATTCAATACTCGAAGAGGATTGGCTTTCTATGCGAAACCCCCATTCTCCGTCACTCCTGACGTAACGTCTCCGTTCCCTACTCAGGGAACGAGGGTTACATCCGTAACCGAGACGATATATTTCTATCGTCTTTGAAGGTTGAAGTGTACTGCTGAATGTACTGAAAAGTATTTATGGTAAACTGAAATATACTACAATGTCTTTCGATTTAGACTTCTGCATGTCATGGCTTTAAATATATTTCTATTACACATTTGTAATGAGGAAGTTGAACTTGAATGAATACATTCAAAATTTATAAAGTACTTTAAACTTTACCAATATACTTAATTTAGTATATTTGTCAACATATCAAAATAAGTGTACATTTTTAAAGCATGACACAAGATTATTAAAACAATAACGCGTGTGTTTCGTCACAATGATAAGGGTATACTTTAAAATCCGTTATACTCAGAAATTCCTGTAGAGGGCAGTGTAGTGTGGTGACTGGGCAGGAACCGCTGAGAGGGTTTGTTTCCAAGGGGGAACAATAAAGTGGTGCACCTCGAGAGCACATGCAGGTGAAAAGTTTGGAGAAGATCTCTTGCTGGACTTGCAAAGAATTTCACCCACATTCAGTTAAAACAAATTCAAACTTGAAGACGCAGCTGGTCTGAACATGAATTTATTTATTGATGTAAACTATAAATTGTAAGAGATCAGTATTATGTTTCAGCATATTTGATGGATTTTGCTAGTTTGCTTGCTACAGTACTGATTGATGCTAAGATTGTGTATGATTTGGTGTGATTTGAGGGAAAGGTGTTCAAGTTTGTTAACATTTATTATTTCTTGTCAAAGAATTTTGATTTAGTTGATTTATATTATAGGTAATATGGTGAAGGTAAATGAGATGTTAAATGTTAGTTTAAATAACATCTATAATATTAATGTATGTTTCTTTTGTCTATTTTTATCTTTAAAGATTATCAACCTATTGCTGATCTATTGCTGACTACTGCTTCTGCAAATACCTCTGCAATCCCAGAAAATAAATAGTCAAGTCAATGAGTTGCCTTCTCTTGTGTCCTTCATTGTTTGAACGCCATATCAAGTTTGGGCAGAGCTGAACAAAAAAGTGGGAAACTTGACAGTATGTTAATAAGCAGTCACGTACAGTAAGCTCACTCTTTTAAGTACATTTCAGTGCCTTTTATTGTGATAATATTATATTATCTGCAAGCATTGTTTGTTACTCTAGTAAAAGTCATTAATTCCATCTTCAACAGTGTAATTAGATTATTGTACTAGATACTCTCAGTTAAGTATTGCATTACTTACTAATTACTTCCTAAACCCAAATTCAACCTCGACCAGTTGAACAATACAAGAATATATATAAAACTGCTATTTTAATTATTTCAAATAAATAATAAAAATGCCTTAATTATTATTGAACTGACCAAAGTATTTAAAGGGAGAAGTTGCATCAAAATTTAAAGTTTAATGTTCAAATGCATGTTTTTAATGTTAAATCCAATTTTGTTTTATATAGAATTGTTCTATAGTCTAATACAGTATTACAATTACATTAGAAGTAACTGTAATTAAATAACAGAAAATTGAATCCCTTACCTACTTTTTTTTTCAAGGGAAAATAACTAAATTGCTGTATATAATTACTTAGTTATGCATTACCTTGTCAGCAAGAACAGTGTTTTAAAGATTTGAACATTTACAAATATATTATATTTTAAAGCATACTACAAGTGTGCATTCAATACAACATTACAACAAAGCACACTTCTTTTTCACAAGGGAATGCTTGTGGGCTCCGAACATAAAACCTTCAATGATTCAAATGTGACCCTGTATATTCAGGCTTCAGTGGTGTCACTGCAGGCTTTGTGAGTTTGGGACTCGTTCTCACCAGTATGTCGAGGCAAGCAGCCTTCAGCAGTGTGATCTGGTCTGCGATGGTGAGGGTGGTGAATCCCGGCAGCTGTTTGGCGAACTCCACCGTCTTTATGATGCACTTTGTGGAGAGCTCACTGAACTTATCCCACAGATCCACGTCCAGTGCCACGCGCCGCTCTGAGCTGTTACTCTATACACAGACGGGGACAAAATTCAGGTTGACTAGAATGCTATGGTAAATGTTTAATAGCGGCATCAATAATGGCTGAAAGTCTGGCACGGGAAATCTGGCCATTAGCTTTGGTGAGGTCTGCATGTAAACAAAGGAGCAGAATCAGCACAGAGTTCTGGGAGTTATTGACAAACTCAGACACATATCTGTAGTTACAGCATTGATTCATCAGTCAGTGTCCGCTCATTAGTTAAAAAAAAACAACAACACAAAGTCTAAACAATGAGGTCATATCCTCACCGAAAAAGATTTTATATCGGGTTGTAGTAGTCAAACAGCCACGGTACATGTAATCCAATGATTTTACTAGGTTTATATTTATCATGCTTTTAACTATATCCAATACATTTCTTAGGATATATTGCTTATTTATATTAATCAAAAGAGCCATAATTTCAACTAGAGCTGCAAGATTGATCCTTAAAGAGTAGTTCACTTTAAAAAAAAAAAACTTTTGCTGATAATTTACTCACCCCCATGTCATCCAAGATGTCAACGTCTTACTTTAGTCAGTTGAAAAGAAATTAATGTTTTTGATGAAAACATTCCAGGATTTTCTCCATATAATAGACTTCATTGGGAACCATACGGTTCAAGGTTCAAATGAGAGTTTCGGTGCAGCTTCAAAGGGCTTTAAATGACACCAGACGATGAATAAGGGTCTTATCTAGGAACCTTTCATGACTAGAAAAAAGATTTGTTCATTTTGATGAACGAGTTTGAACAGAAGGAGAGTCACGACCGCTCATCACAGAACAGAGCAAGGTGAGCATTTGCGCTTATAAAACTTAAACTTTTTTTATTTATTTTTTAAATGTTTCGCTAGATAAGACACTTATTCATCATCTGGTGTTGTTTAAAGCCCTTTGACGATGCACTGAAACTCTCATTTGGACCTTCAACCGTTTGGTTCCCATTGAAGTCCATTATATGGAGAAAATTCTGAAATGTTTTCATCAAAAACCTTAAAGAGCACCTATCATGGATTTTTGAAAATGACTGTTCATATAGTGTGGAATATAGCTCTAAGGGAATGAAAACATCCTGCAAAGATTTATATCTGAAAGTGCACCGTATATAAAGTTATTGTCTTTCAAAAGTGAGAGTCGACTCTGAGTCTATGAAATTAATTGTTTTTGAAACGAGTCATTAGCTGTTACATCGTGACGTGGAGAGGTCATTGGCCGCTCCCAACAACTAATGAAATACTTGTAATGCGTATGTATGGATATGTTTGTGTGTGTGTATCCATATTTGTTTTTGTTTTTTTATGTTTATATTTTATGATAGGAGAAATTTGTTAACCTTTCTATTTCTGTTTGGTGTTTGAATGTATCTGACTAATTTTTGTAATTTACAATAAAAAAAATAAAATAAAAAAAAACTCCCTAAAAAAAAAAAAAAAAAAAACTGCGCGCGCATACGGAAGTGTAAACTTAAAGTGATGTCTCGAACACATTCAAATACTTCAGCTGAATCGCATCATGTCGAGAAGACGCTGTGTTCTACATTGCAAAGACAGTTCAGCCACTTGTTTCCATTGTCCAGGGATGAGCACGTTAAGAATCAGTGGTCAAAGTTCATATTTGCAACGAGTAATATCTGCAATCCAGTGTATATAGATCAGGTTCGTCCTCCTTTTTTTTGATATTTTGACATTTTTGATATTCACCAGACATTCATTGAAAAATGGCAATTACCTCCTAAACGATTTAGCCAAATAGACTTCGCTCTATATAATAAGCACTGCCCCTCAAAAGCCCCCGCAATGTGAGTTTCGCGGGGAAAGCTTGCTCTTGACGGAGACGCGAGTAAGGGACCGTGTGGAAAGTGCACTTTTTCTGACACGTTTGTTCAAACAATATATACAATTTTCAACACTTGACAAGCTATAATCCTGGTTATGGGCGTTCCGTTGATGACAGTCTCTGCCTACGGTTTACTAATAACAACTGACTGGGTCATTTGACCTATCGCCGCAGATTCGCATCACTCAAAGGAGGTGTTTTGGAAAATGAATCGTCGAACAAATCCTTTGGGAGTCGTTGAGCAAATCAGTAAAAAATAAATAAATGCATATTATAAGACAAATACAGTGTTTTTTATCCTTGCATGCACATTAAAGTGTTTTTGGGAACTCCTAAAACAAAAAATAGGAACATTTCAAATGCTATGATAGGGGCTCTTTAATTTCTTTTCGACTGAAGAAAGAAAGACATGGACATCTTAGATGACATGGGGGTGACTAAATTATCAGCAAAAGATTTTTTTTTAAAGTGAAATACTCCTTTAAAAGATCTCAATTTTGATACAATCTTATTCATAAACAACAATTATTCGCCTGTGTCTAATAGACCTTTGATAAGTAGCTACAATCACAGCGACCATTGAAATCTATGTTGGCACTGCCACTGAGCCAGACATGTATAGGTATGAAACGGCTTCACAGCCACACAGTATCATTATTTCTTTTCCACAGTTCGGGTATAAACACAGATGTTCGGGCCTCACGCACTCTTACCGTGGTGTATTTGCCGAGTTGACACAGCGAGGGGAAGGTCTCTTTGTGGGCTTTCCTGACTCTGTCAATCATCTGCTCTGTGTCTGGGCTCAGTGTGTAGCTCTCTGTGCATTCTTGCTTTTTATCTTCTTTCTTCTTCTTATTCCTGTCATTCCTTACCGCTGCACAGACAGAAAGACAACAAAGATCAGTGCGGACGGCTTTTGCCAAGTGAAATTCCACCAAGCTGTTATAAAATGAATAAAAGTTCTAATTGAGCTGTTGTATTATAGCTAATGTATGCATAGCTGTTACAACACAATAGTTGAATTGTGTAGTCAAGCAGCACCCCTAAACAACCTACTGTTAGACTAATAAACTATAAAAGGGAAACAAAATTGATTCTATTTTTTAATGCAAGATTGTTCATATTGTGCCTGATTCATCCATGCACATTTTCACCAAAATAAATAATATCAATAAATAAAGTCTGTCCTCCTCTTTCTAGTATAATAATACTGATATACAGCATGCAATAATATTGTTATACAAAATGTTAATTTCTTACAAAATACAATTGTTTCAGAGTAGATGACATTCAAAGATGTAGATCATAATGTACTAATAAGAATTAGTAACTTAATATCTAAAACCTAAGAATAATAATTGAAAAAGTTAAATAATATAATTGTTAACTAAATACAATATTTTTTCATCAAATTATAATATAATAATAATAATAAAGTATTATTATTAAGAAGTTATTAGCAGTTGATAGTATAATTAAATTAATAAAATATCTTAATTATATTAGCATTATTCTTTACAACTTTTTTTAATTAAATCTCTCTTTGTTGTTTTTGTTATTAATATTATTATATAATTATTTATTTAACATTGGTGCCTTTTATATGATTAAAAACATTCAATCCCATTTTATCATGCTTTTTTCATAATTAGATAAGGCTGTCATTTCAAAAAGAAATGACGTGGGCTAAAGAGAACATGCATTTAATGTGCATTATTATTAATAATAAAATATTAGCATTCCATAAAAAATATGATTTTTTTTCTATTTAACTTTTTAAAGGGCATTATTATTATGATTGTACCATTATTTATTAACCATTAATGGTTAATAAATATTAATTAATTAATTAATAAACCATCACTGTCAGAAAAAAAGGTACGAAAGCTGTCACTGGGGCGGTACCTTTTCAAAAAGGTACACTTTTGTCCCTAAAGGGTGCATATTGGTACCATAACTGTACAAATATGTACCATGAAGGTACCAATATGCACCCTTTAGGTACAAAAGTGTACCTTTTGAAAAGGTACCGCCCCAGTGACAGCTTTCGTACCTTTTTTTCTTACAATATTAAAAACATTCAATCCAATTTGAACAAATTCCATCAAGTTTGCTATCACAGTGAGATATGTGGCCGTGTCATTCAAGTGATGAAGTAGGCAGAAGAGAAATGTTCTCAAGAAGACAGATAGGAAAGAAAGAGGGATGAAAGGGCCAAGAAAAAGAGAAAACTTGCATGAATAGCAGAGAAAGGCTGTTTGAGATGCAGTGAGCAGCAGTAATGGAGTGAGATGTGACAGACAGATAGAGGAAATGTGTTAGAGCCAACACATCATCTGTGAAGACCAACCATGAGGGGAGGAAAGGCGAGAAAAAAAGTGTTAAGGAGAAAAAATAGGACAAGAATCAGAAATGCCATCACACCCCCTCAACCAGTACCATCGCAAACACTTTCTCTCTCTCTCTGCGGGGTGTGTGTTTGTAGTTTGATGAATAGAGCAGGTGGATGAAGTCGTACATAATGCTGATAGATCACCACAGGTTTCATTAGACCCAGAGCTAATCTAATCTCATTATATGACACACACACACACACACACACACACACATACACACAGACACTGTAATGTCATGGTATTATTTTCTCTCCAATCTCTGCTAGCGCTTGGACCCTTGCTGCATCCCTCTCACGGGCCTCTGGAGATGCAGAATTGATTCCTAAATAAAAGTGGGCTATCTTAACGTGCCTACATTAGCCCCAATGACAGATTGGCACAGCGATCATAAGCCGCAAAACACAATTTAATGAAGTCATTAAAGAACTATTAGCCTGCCTGCGCCATCACTCACGCACAAGCATTACTGAGAGATCTGCAGAGAGAGAGAGAGAGAGAGAGAGTGAGAGAGAGAGATCAGGAAACAGGTCTTTCTCCAGCAGTAGAGTATTTTGTGTGTGTCTGGAAAGGTGATTTTTACTCATCGGAATATCTGACTATATTGTCAGAAATATGCTGATGAACAGAAACATGGCCAGACACGTGATCTAAGCAAGTACACAGCTGCACAGTTCTGTTATATATACTTAACGCTATATACTGTATACTGGCGGTAACAAACCCATGGGGCTAAAAGAGTAGGTATGGCTATGTAAGTACTGATGTAAGTAGCTTGAGTTGCATTATGAACTGTGCTTTGACACATTTCTGACTAAAACAATGAAAAATGAAATTGAGTGGCTACGTTCAAAAGTCTTTAGGGCCTGTGTATTGTGATAAAATCGCCACTGGACATAGCTATGGTAGTCAATGGGGAATGAGATCTGTTTGATTAAAACATTATTATAAATATCTTCCTTTGTGTTCAGCAGAACAAATAAACACATAGAGGTTTGGAACAACATGAGGGTGAGTAAATACCGACAGAATTTTCATTTTTGGGTGAACTAACCCTTTAAAACGTAATTTTAGTGAAAAATTTAATGAATGAAAATGCAAATTCACTCCCTGACAGTAGGTGGCGCTTACTGATGTGATCCACAAAGCAGAGGTAATAAAGGAAGCAGAGATGTATTAACATAATTATTCTCAAATACCAGTTTAACCTAAATCCAATCCTATTCAGATTTTTGTATACCAATTAGAGCTGAAACGTCTTGATGGCGTAACTGATGATTATGATGATACAAATATGGTAAGTTGGATTCAATTAATAGGTATAAACTTTAGGTAATACATTAAAATAGACTATATACACATAGTGGGTTCTTAATTCATTGTCACTATAATTAACAAAGTGTTATTGTTTAATTTGCTCATATTTAAAGAGTTTGATAATGCTTTGTTAAAAACATTAACTGTAAATAGTTATTTTACTACTTTAGATTAGGTTATGGAAACTGGAAAAATTACATTAAGTGCTTAAAACCAGTCTTTATTAGACATTAATTATTAATTCATTATTATAAAGTATTAACAAAATGTTTATTGCTTCGCATTTTCCTGACAAACATTTGTCTTGGTATGAACAGGCCTTAATGCCCACGAATGTCTGTTTCAGGGTGTGGGTGAGTGTGTTGCATGAGGTTCTTGACAGGAATAATTTGAGAGGAGAAAATTAAAGCGCTGGCAGATCGTCCATCACAAAGATGAAATTCAATGAAAGGATAAAAATGTCAATGTTTCCTCCCTCCGCTCCTGCTCTCTCTCCACTCCTCCTTTTTCACAATCTCGACTCCTCCTCAGCAGCAGCAGCAAATGAGTTGTGAGTCTAATGCATTTGGAGCAGAGCGAACCCAGCATGCTGTGCTGAAAATCAATGAGTGTGTGTGTGAGTGTTTTATTACAGATGTTTTGTGCGTTCAAATGCATGCAGGAAGTGAAGTGTGAAAGTGCTGCTGTGCGTCATTTTCTAAATGTACTGTGAGTCAAGAGGTGTGAATTCATATGAACCCACTTTAATGAAACAAGTGTGGGTTGTCATTGTGACTGATTTAATGGGTCATCTGCACCCTCACCATGATGCCTGCTGGAGGCCCATGTGCTGGATCTGTCAGACTGGCCCATGACATTAACCTCGACATGCACATGATCTCTGAAAGAATTACATCAAAACCTGTCAAGAACAAATATCGGTCACTAACTCATGAAGTGCATGAAATCTGTTTTAGGATCATTGAGATGTTTTGCATGACTGTAATGTCTCATTACTGTAATGCACAAAAACTAAAATAATAAAAATTGCCGCAATGTCTATTTGTGTACTATTGTTTTTGATATTTTTTTCTCATTATATAATAGTATATATATTATACCTCTCTTTTGCTCAAATGGGCCTCAAATCAGAAAATGTTCTCACCTTTTAAAACACTAGTATTTGTAACCGGTGTCATGTTACTCTGTATGGCCAGTGCACCCCTGTTCTATTCATTTTTATTAACCAATGTTGCCTTTCCATTTCCTTAATTTTTTTTTTCATTTCAACTCTTCAAAAAAAAAAAAAAAAATGAAAGCCACACTGCAGAACTTTTTGGCCACTAGATGGTGCTCGACATGTAATTTTCACGTCCAGCGTCCCTAGAAGCCACAAGCTCCGCAGCACTGTCGCAAATTAAAGTCAACAAACAGTCAACCGGTCAGCCTCCCATGTCTTTAGATTGTGTGTGCTTGTGCTTTTACTGTCTATGGTGCTTGCAGTGTATGAGGCGGGCCGGGCAACCTTGCCGCGCTTGATTCCCTTATAGCAGTCGGCTGAGAGAGCGAGCGGGGTGATCCCCGTTGGGATTATCATGTCTGTGAGTGAATGTGGGCGCGGGACAGCGGACACATTCACTACACTGAAAACACCGTCGGCCAGAGCTGACGGTAACGTTATGTGTTTTGGTTTATTTTTACAGAAACCGTGGGACATGTGGTGTGTAATGTTAGTGTTTGTGGGTACTGCTGAGTCGTGGGGACGTTCACTACATTTAATGTAACATTAACGTTATATTTGACATGAGCCGATTTTATTAGTGCGGGCTGTGTTTGTAGAAATGAACACTGGGCTGTGGGCATTTTATTACACTCATAACACCATCGGCTGTGGCCGGAATACCAGAAAATACTACACTGCTTATATGAATTTATCTGGGTTACCTTAGAAACGGCATTTTTGTGCAGGCAAGCGTCCGCATCGGTTGAGCACTCTTTCTCCTCCGTTAGCTCACGCCAGCGAGCGAAGCGAAAGCTGGACCAATGTGTTAATCCTAGTCCTGGCTTTTAATTTGTCACTCTCCCCTTTTCTTTTTTAGTTTCCTCCGATAAAACCGTTGCCTTCTTCCTTGTAGCTGTTGTTCGGCATGACGAAAACATATAGACGGCAATCAAGTTGAGCACTAACGTTAGATTCTGAGGAAGTTGTGGGTGGTGGGGTAAGTGACGTATGCCGTAAAACGGTCAAATTTTGTAGTTCTTTTTGTGCTCGAGTTCCTACCCGAAACCCGAAGTTACAAAGTGCAAGTAAAAGCGATACAGACACCTTCAGGAGACGGCAGACGCGTCATTCAACCTATTGCAAGTCGATCTACCATCTCAATGGGTTTTGGTATTATATTATAAAGGTTGAAGAGTTCCACGGTGTGGCTTTAAGGAAATGGAATTTTATATGTATAATATATATATATATATATATATATATATATATATATATATATATATATATATATTATACATATAAAATTGAATTAAATGTAATTCTTTATTTTGCTTTTAGGGTTAAATGAGAGCCAGACATGTCACCTGGATATACACACACCCAATGATCAGATCTGAAATGGTATTGGATTGTTCCTCTCCCTCCATAAAACCACACAATTTGTGTCTCTTTCTGCAGTGGAGACTCACGTCCACTTGATGGTGAGAGTGTGTTGGATCTGTCCGGATGATTTCTGAACAAACACACTGACACATTCACAACTTTTGCTGCAGACCTGTGAGAGTGTGTGTATTTTCACACCTCTCTCAATTAACTTCTCAATACTGACAGTGCCTAGCAGAGATGTGTGCTCGTATAGCCAGAGGGAGGCATGCTTATGATTATGTGTGTGTGTTTTGGCAAGATTTGTGATGTATTACTCACATTCTTTGGACATCCCCACTTCCAGGCACTTCTGCAGCCGGCAGTATTGACAGCGGTTGCGGGTGACTTTGTTGATGATGCAGTTCTTCTCTCTGTGGCACGTGTAGACCATGTTCTTCTGAATACTTCGCCTGAAGAAACCCTAAACACAGACAACACAATTAGGTGAGAGACAGACGTCAAGGGATGCAAGAAAACCCCAGTCATGTGACAAAACAAATAGATTTTTACTTCCACATGGTGCTTCCAAGTACAAATCCCAGAGACAATAAAGTAATTGTATTGTTGATGCGTGTAAGGACATTGAATGTGGTTGCTAAAGTGTTTTGAGTGGTGATTGATTGGTTTTTAGGATGTTGCTAAAATCAAAAGGTCAAAAAAGCCAACCCTTATGTCTCTAAACTCCTTCAGTTGATTGGAATTGTTGCCCTTTTTATCCAATTTTAGGCCAATTCTACAGATATGAAGATATTTTAATGACTTATGAGAGATTTCTGTAGCTCTGTTAAAAGTCCATTCCAACAAAACGTTTAAGTGTCAAAAAGTTCATAAAGAGATTGTACAGGTAATCCATATACTTCAAACGGTCTAGTAGTCTCCTGAAAAAAAAAAACACGATCGCTTTATGTTCACAGGCTTTTATTCACATATAAACGCATTGATCAACACAACAAACACAGTAAACGGAAGCTCAAACATGCTTGCTTTGGTAAACTAACCCAAAGTATCCTTCAGTTTTGAGGCTTAGCGTAAGACACAACCGAACACACAGGCCTGCATAGGATGGTGTGCAGGAACAAAGGTGCTCGACATGCACAGCATACCAGAAACTTTCATCCTTGTTCAGTGTCTGAACTATTCCTATTTCTTTCCTGTCACTTGAAACTTGCAGTAGCTATCTAGTAGCCTATCTTTACCACATAAAAAGTGTCTTGTGTTATGAGTGTGAGTGTCTTGCAAAGAAGTAGTTAGCCATAAATCAAGTCACTAACAAGAGGGGGTGGGGAGTTATCAGAAAATGATTCATTTACATTTATATTTATTTATTTAGCTGACGCTTTTATCCAAAGTGACTTACAATTGCTATGTATGTCATAGGTCGCACGCCTCTGGAGCAACTAGGGGTTAAGTGTCTTGCTCAGGGACACATTGGTGTCTCACAGTGGATTCGAACCCGGGTCTCTCACACCAAAGGCATGTGTCTTATCCACTCGCCATCACCACCACCCCATGATTCAGCAGTTTTATTTAGAAAACTAAGCTAAATAATTACTTGCTACCTTTGGAGCAACAGCACATGTTGTGTGAGTAAATGAGAGTTGGTCGAGTCTCTCACCTTGCAGCCCTCACAGGCACTGACGCCATAGTGATATCCTGAAGATTTGTCCTGACACACAAAGCAGGGCTTATAGACGCGAGGAGGAGGGGGCGGAGAGGGTGGGCTCGGGACGATCTCCTCTGAACTCGTACTCTGGGTCTCGATTGCTGTGAAAGAGAGAGAGCTTATGGGTCAATGACTTGACATTGATATATTCATACAGACTGTGACGTTAATACAATTTTTCTATGATGAACATCATGTTCATTTCTGAATAAAAATGTATTTAAATAATTTTTGTCAAGCGTAGAATCAATATAATAAAACTTGGCTCTATAGATTTTCAAAACCATATATAACCAGAAACTCAATTCAAAGCATGCTGAATAATGAAAATTGTCTTATTTATCTAGGAAGAATCCCTAACACTGAACCACAACGCTGCAGTGTGTGATTGGGAACATTACAAGCAAGATCAAAGACACAGATGTCCTGAACAGACTCCTCTAGAAGAACTGCGCTTCTGTCAGATGATCTGAGCGCACTGATGACGGAACGCATTCGTGCTGATGATAATTAGCCAGCCATAACACATCAATACAAGAGATAAACACTGTTAAACATTGTTCAAACCACTGATGGGATTGGGAGGGTGACAAGATTCTAGATGTGTTTCCTGCGGTGTCAGCAGTTTCAACCACAACCTTATTTTGCATTTTTAGTAGTAATACTAATACTAATGATAATAATAATTATTATATTAATTAATTTCTAATTGTTATTTTATCTAACAACAATTACTTGTATATTAGAGCAACAATAATAATATTAATAATAATATTTTTTTTGAAATATGAAATATTTCAAAAATAAAATAGTAATTATATTACATTAACAATTAATACATTATTATCAATTTATTAATTCTATTTATCTAACATTATTATTGTTTATAATAACAATTATTGTTGTTATTAATAATATATTATTTTCGTTTTAGATTATTATACTATTATTATTATATGTAATTAGTCTACATTTTTCTTATTATTATTACTATAAACGATTAAAATTATTGTATAACATAATTGTGAGAATACCACAAGTAACTGCTACAGCAAAAATTCCCATAACAAATCTATGTCTGTCTCTGACACAAACAGAATACTGTATTTCAGGGGGGATGTGCTTACTTTTGTTAAGACAGTATGCCAGTATACTGTATACTGCAACAAACTATAACATCATAAAGATGTGTCTTTTTATACCATCATTCATTATGTAAAAAATGATCCCAATCTCCTTTGTGCAAGGTGTTGTTGGCAGTGTCAGCCAAAAAAAAAAAAAAAAAAAATAATTGAAATCTTGCATACTATTTACTATAGGTGATATGCAAATAAGGTTCTGGTCACCTGGACAATAGACATGCCTTACACAATTACACATTAATGATATTATAGTGTTCTCAACAGGATACAACGTGTGAATTTCTGTTTATAGAAAAGGTGGAGAGGGTATCTGAGGAGAAAGTATGTGGTTGCGTCTCTGGTTGGTTTAGCTGCAATTTCCTTCCCGTGTGTGTGTGTGTGTGTCCCAGTTGTAGCAGAGGGCAACTCAACTTGTGAGCGGAAGTTAAATTTAGAACTCTTATTTACACGACACCACTGCTGTCGGCCCCGCCGGGCACATCACACACAAAGAATGACTGCAGACGCATAACTGCAACAGCATCCCATACACATACAAACACCAGCACACACACTCTCTGTCAGAGCGCATGTTCCCGCCTGTCTCTCTGTGGGCAGGAAATACTCAGAGATACGTCCTGGAACAGACTGACGGAATGAAAGGCTGACTCAGCCGTGGACACACAGAGAATAAGAACGAGAGCAGGAAGGAATTGGAGAGAATGGAGGAGAAAATCAGACAACTGGAGTTCAAACATGTGGCTCTGACAGCCAAGATAAGCACATACACAGAGCCACATCGTTGGGCAAAACATCCGAGATGAATGAAGAGCTAAAGGCATTCGGTTTGTTTTCAGTGGACAAATTGAGGTTATTAAACACCTATGCATGAAAAGAGAAGAGTCCATTAAAAAAAAAGCTTAACCAAAAGTCTATAAATGCCTGATGACCAAACTCTTGTGCTTGAATTTGGCATAAAATGGAAGGTGTGGAAGTCTTTTCTTTCCTTTTCTAATGTATATCCAGATGAAACTGCTTTTCGAACAAGAACAAAATATAGGGCAGTAATCGATTGGATCATTAGATGGTTGAGGTTTGTTGTTTCTGTGATCCAATGTGATTGACAGTTTGACCCGTCCTTGTGGCAATGACATCATCAGTGAATTAATGTTGTTGCAAGAGGGAGGGGAAGTTATATTGATTAAACTAGACGAGGGCACATGAATAAAAAAAAAAAGAAAATGATGTGCATGGATAAATCATTTATAATAAATGCTGCAATATTCCATAAAAAACACGAATTGTCAATTTTAAATTCATGGTAACTTTAATTTGAAAGACATGAGCATTAATCCTTTCTTTAAAGTGCAGACACATTAACGAAATTTCAGTGAAATTTTCTGGAAAAAAGGTGCAGCACCATTGTCAACCAAGGAGCTTTCTGTTAGGCTGTGTGGCAAATTCACGTGACCAACTCAATCATGTTACCTAAGCGAAATCTGCTAAGATTCTGCGAATATTTTTTCGCCCTCACGCAAACCCCCGGTCGTACAGATTATTACTGATATGACTGGATTTTGAAATTTCACTAAGCAATGGTCACTGTGACCACACATTTAAGGCCGTACACACCGGGACGAATATCAGCGCGCGTTATTCGTCAGCGTTTTTCCAACACGTTTTTTGTGTTCACAGTCACACCCAAGCGTTTTTCGCTGACGATGAGCTGAGTGAACATGCAAATTCATTCCCTGACATTAGATGGCGCTTAATGTAAAACAGAAATAATAATAGAATACTATACTAGGGTGATCATATTCATGTCTCAATGTTTTATTATGACAGATTAAAAAAACGAATGAAATAATGATAGAAATAATATCTTCTGTATTAGAAAATAAATAAATAATAAATAACTAAATGAAATGCCTCCAAATGTAACAAAAATAGCTCTCACAAACTTACAAAAACGAACTAACAAAATCTATTTATATCTTTAGTTTTCATCCTCTTTATCTTGTTTTTCTTCCTCATCCACCTTGTTTGCCCATCTATATTTTGCTGTAGAACTGATCTTTCCCAGCAGTTTACCAGGACATTTTCATCACTTAAAAACAGCCAGGACAGGACGCGGAAACAGGACATGTGTAACGCAAAGTTGAGATGTTGCCCAGAGATAATAGCACTAGTTGTCGGATGAACAGATGCACGAGAGACGAGAGTTATCGTATTTCCCCGCGTTTAATAAAACCACTCAAGCGTTACACTCGTCCTCATACATGGGGATCGACCGAGGAAAAAAAAACACAAACAAACATCTGGTCACAATAGAAAAATAAAATAAAAGAAAGGATACAAACAGTTGGCAGAGCGGTTATTTATCTCCTCTCCTCACTTGTCAAAATCTAACTGACACTACGCACACTTTGCGCAGTTCTCATCTCAACTCAGATTTCTATAAAGCACAAAGTGACTGTTACACATGTCCCGGGAAAACAGGACTGTTGGTCACCCTATACTATACTATTATTACAGAAATACTAATATAAATATTATCATATAGCTCTTTATGCTCCGAGACCAGCAGCTCAACATTCGTATATGTGCTCGGCAAGACCGTTTTGTGTTTGAGCGCCCCAAGTTGTGCTTTACTCTGTAACTTCAGAAGTACCAGACACGTGAGCAAACCCGCCAATCTCGTTGGTCGGATAGGTTTTGACGCGGCGCGTCAAACCAAAAAAAACGAACCCGAGGCGTTTTTTTTAAAAATGACGCTTTTACGCCTGGCGTTTTTCGCGTCGGTGTGAACACTCACATTAGCGCCCATTGTTTAGTCACAAGGCGTTAAACGTCGACGAATATCGCGCGCGAAATTCGTCCCGGTGTGAACAGGCCTTTAGGATGGGATTAGTGGATGGACCAAAATAATGATAATAAACTAAATGATTACATTTTCTGAAGAAATTGAAAAACTTGCATCCCCTGTTAAGTAGGGATGCATTCAGCTCCCATACTGTACAATCCATCTTTACCAGATCAGGTATCGATCAGACCGATCAAAATCCAGTATGGCCCCACAAAAGGCCTAAAAACATTATAAATCACCTTTTTAGGGCCCAAGCCCTGAAAGGGCGAAGGCCCTATTGTTTTCCTTAGGATTATTATTATTATTATTAGGGCCCAAGCCCTGAAAGGGCGAAGGCCCTATTGTTTTCCTAAGGATTATTAGGGCCCAAGCCCTGAAAGGGCGAAGGCCCTATTGTTTTCCTTCCGATTATTTTTTTTTTTTTTTTTTTCTTTTATTTTTCTAACGACTATTCGGGCACTTTTGGGGCCCTTAACATGCTCGAAAACTCTTGAAACTTTGCACACGGGTCAGAACCCGCGGCCATCAGAGCCGGGCTGAAGCTGGTACCCGGGCGTGGCAGGGGGGCTCGACAGCGCCCCCTGGAACGGGGTCCGAACACTTGGTCCATAAATCAAACACGCTTGCATGTAATAATATGAAACTCGGTACACATGTTGATCTCATCGTTTCATCTATACCTCGCGCTTTTACTTTTTACCCCAGCCCAACAGGAAGTCGGCTATTTAGGGTTGTTCGTAAAACACTCGCAATGGAATTTTTAATACTCCTCCTAGAGCTTTGATCCAAATTCGACGAAACTCGGTCAGCGTGAAGTCAAGACATTGAGGATGAAAGTTTGCGAGGGGATTTTTGATATCTGGAACGGTTTGGCCGTGGCGAGGAAACAAAATTATGGCGAGAAACGTGAAACAGGAAGTGTATCATAACTTCAGCACACATCAACCGATCTTGATGAAACTTCAGCAGTGTGTTCGCTGTAAGAGGACGATCACATGGATGTGACTATTGCGAGTCAAAGTTATAGCGCCACCAACTGGTAGCAGGAAGTGTGTCATTTTCAAAATGCTTTGATATCACCCTTTTATTTTTACCCGATTTGCTTCAAACTTCATCTGTATAATGT